AGTTTCCCTACAATGCTTTATTCTTGTCAAGGCATGGAAATTTGTTATAGTGAGAGCATTCTTATGTCCTGGGTGAAAGGATGCCAGAAAAAGCCAGGCTGCAGAACTTACGGCGACCAGGACCCATGTTTCAACAGGAGTTTGGGGACCTTTGCCCTCATCACTCACCACCAACATGCCTCTTCCATTCCTTGTTTTTTATTTTGCTTATTTTTCCCATTATTATGGAATGGCTGCTGCTGCTTTCTGGATTTTCCTATTCAACTTTTAGAAGAGAGTAGAATTAATATAGTTAATTAATTACCATTATGCTTACTTACTGGGGAAATGTATTCATGCCAAGTCATTTCATAGGTCAGCAGCCAACCTATGGATTAGGTGACTTTAGGAAACTTGATCTGACCCCTTTTCTTAGAAAAGGAGCCAGGGTTGGTTGCTCAGCTCAGTAAAGGGCTATAAACGGGCTCTCCCTGGTGGCGCAACAGATTAAAGCACAGCACTATGTAGCTATCCCCAACTGTTTCAGCACAAGTCAGATCCCTGCCAGGGGGGTAACCCATTGGCACAGCAGTCCTCTCCCGTCTTGCCCACTGCTCCCGTCAGCAGTGTACTTTGTCAGTCTACCTGTTCTGCTCCCCACTCTGTCTCTGGTGAATCCTCATACCACCAGCCCCCCACATCTCAGTCCTGTACCCCAGTTCTGTATGCTTAAGTAAATCTTTCAGAAAGGGGAGGCTACAAGCCAGCAAAGGACATGCTGGGTGTTGCAGGAACCATGATTGATTTTTTAGTATGCTATGTCAAAGATTTGGCTTCCTTACTCTGTAGAGGTAACTTTAGGTTTTATTTATAAATGGGCTTTATCATGTCAGAAACTAAGCCATTTATAACATACAGCACAGCTCCATCATTATTAAATACATTCTTAATAAATAAAAGTAAGTTCTGGACATGTTTAAACATATCTCTATTTGACAATCACAGTTTCATTATCTACTTAATCATAAAAAATCTCCACATCACTCCAGAGATCTATTGCTTTGTAGAAGATCTTGCAAAAGATATTTTTTCAATCCTCTTACTTTCCTTCATTAGATATAGATTCTTAAGTATTACAGACAGGTAATGATATTGACTTAGACCCAAAAAGTACAGATGGAGAAGCAGATGTAGCTGTCACCCATAAAGGCTGAGTAAGCATAATGGACAACAGGCACTGTGAATTTTCTTGCCAAAAAACCTACAATAATAAAACATTAGCTTCCCAGAAGCCATGCTGGACTTCAGACTCTAAGTAGAAACTAATCATCAGACAAGCTATGTCAAAAGTGCATATGGCACTCAGTAAGTAAACATAATTGAAAAGGCCAACTATAAATCTATGAGAAGAGTACACATACACCCCTAAAGTCTGCTCAGATTGTTTTATTTTCCTTTTATTTTTATATTTCTAACTAAATTCTTGTCTACCTAACCCATAGTTATCTAATAAACTTATAATAAATATACCTGATTAAGAATATTTCATAACCTACCTTGGAAATCTGTTTTATCATCCTAACAAATGGGAGACATCTTAATATTAAAAACAGATGCTCCCTAGTGGTACAAAGGGGTTAGAGCCCAGCACTATGAATATGAAGCTAGCTACAGCCCCTGCAGCATGAGTTCAATACCTGGCCAGGCAGGTGACTTATGTGGCATGGCAGACCTCTCCTGTCCCACCAGCTGCTCCCCTCAGAGTGTATTTCAATCAGTCTGCCTGTTCTGTTCCACACTGTTTTTGGTGAGTCCCTCACTCTCCACACCTCTGGCCTGTATCTCAGTTCTGTATGCATAAATAAATAAATCTTTTAAGATAAATTTTTTAGTAACTCAGTGGCCATTTTAATAGAAATATTTCCTTGCTAAAAAAAAAATTGTTAAAGCAGTGGCTTAGTGTTCTCATTAAAAATAGAATTTTAGAATTAAACACTGCAAGAGACCATGCATGATGGCATAATCCATGCTCAGCAGAGAACTGTATCTGACTCTGTACTCCCTACCTACTTTATTAGCATTTAGTAAATAATTAAGAGCAACCTCATCTGTAACTTCAACTATCAGTTATAGATTGATGCTTCCTAAACCTCAGTTTCCTAATTCCAGAATACACATTTCCAACTGATTGCTAGAGTTCTTCCTATGGAGGTTTCAAAACATGATGAAAATGTTTACTATTTAAATTGTGGTCCACAGTATAGCACAAGTGTCAGCTGGGATTGTGTTTAAAATGCAACATTTCAGACTATTTCAAACCTAGTGGATCAAAATCTGCATTTTATAATTATAAATGCTGCTAACTCCTATGCATATTCAAGTTTGAGGGGTAGTGTTCTGATTCAGTAATTTTACTTCTTCACAAATATTTTTCAAATGTGCAAAGTACTTGACCTATGAGTATCTCACAATGATGTTATTAATGTTTAAACTTCTGAAGATTGTTATTTTTAAATTGCCTTGCAGACAGGAACTATATGCTTTAAGCCTCTTAAAGTGAAATGTGATCCTTTAATTAATATACTTAAAACATTTCAAAATGACATCTTTACTGATACTCTTAGGTAATTTCCAGATGTATCATTCTTAGAAAAATTTCTAGTCCTTGGAAAAATTGTCAATTTTATAGATTTTCCTGTTTTGCCAAATAAAGCATGTGGTACACAGAACCCTTTCTCTCTCACCCTCAGGTCAGATTATATAGGAACACTGTGTGGCGGCTTTGCCATTAAGGTTGCTGAGCAAGTTCTTGACATAGATCTGAAAACATTTCCCCTAGCAGAATTGGCCACCTTTCCCACAGGAAACAAATCCATTCCACCAAGCTCTGCAGTGTACTTTTCTCTACCTAATTACTCCTGGGATTGCACAGCTCTCTGTTGCAAAGTTGGGTGCTGTGTCCTGCTTGGTAGTGTTTTTTCCTAATTGGCAAACTCCTCCTGTATCATGCAGGTCAATGATTCTTTATTTTTTTAAGCTTTATTTATTTATGCATACAAGGAATGGGGTACAGGCCAGAGATGCAGGGAGAGAGAGGATTCCCCAGATACAGGGCGGGGAGCAAAACAGGCAAGTCAACTGAAATAAACTGCTGAAGGGAGCAGCGGGTAAGAGGAGACATCTGCTGTGCCATGTAGGTCAGCTCCCTGGCCAAGGATTATGCTTATGCTACTTGCCATAGTTTTAATTGACACTGCAATTAAAGAAAGGACTGGATGCCCTCCCTGGTGGCACAATGGATTAGGACACAGCACTGCCGGCTTGCTTCAGCTCTTCAATGTGAGTTCAATCCCTGGCTCCGGAGGTGATCCACATGGAGTGGCAGACCTCTCTTGACCCACCCACTGCTCCCCTCAGCAGTATGCTGCATCAATCTTCCTGTTCTGCTCCCCACTCTTTCTCACCATCCCTGTAACTTTGGCTTGTACCCCAGTTTTGTATGCAGAAATAAACCTTAAAAGAAAAAAAAGGACTGGAAATAAGTCCTCCTTGGTGACACAGCAGGTTAAAGCACAGCACTAGGAAGCTAAAGCCACCTCAGGCTGAGTTCGATTCACAGCCGGGGAGGTGACCCACATGGTTTGCCAGACCTCTCCTGACCCATCCGCTACTCCCTTCAGCAGTGTACTTCAGCAATCAGCCTATTCTGCTCCCCACTCTATCTCTCGTGAATCCTCTCACTGTGCTCCCTCCCCTATCTCCTGCACCTCTGGCCTGTAGCCCAGCTCTGTATGCATAAATAAATAAACCTTAAAAAAAAAAAAAGGACTGGAAAATGGAGATTAGGGAGAAACGTAAGGTTAGAAGGCAGTTTCATCAAAGCAGGTAAGACATGGTAAAGGTAGAACAGTAAGATCAAGAACTCTAAGCAAATTAGGGGGATATTGGAGAGATGTTTAAAGTAAAATCTAAAAATGATTCCTTGGTTTCTGTTTTGGACTGTATAACAAGCACATTCATTAGATGCACTCAGACCTGTATGAAGAAAAGAGCCAGATAGAGAAAATGGCAGCTCACACTTGGAATCAACTAATAAAATAATAAATTTAACCTGTTACAACAAAATATTATTTAGAGATAAAGCTATAAGGGTTTAAGAATGGTTACAAAACTCCATGAGTATCCTAAAAAGCACTGAGTTATACATTTCAATGAGTGAATTGTATGGTATGTGAATTTTTTTTTTAAAGATTTATTTATTTATACACACAGAACTGGAGTACAGGCCAGAGGTGTAGAGGCAGTGAGAGGATTCACCAGAGACAGAGTGGGGAGCAGAACAGGCCTACCTATGAAGTACAATCCTGAGGGGAGCAGCGGGTGGGTCAGGAGAGGTCTGCCACACCATGTGGGTCTCCAGAGCTGGAGATCAAACTTCTGTTGAAGTGGCTTTAGCTTCATAATACTGTGCTTTAACTCTCTGCACCACCACCAGGGAGGGATCGTGGTGGGGAGGGATCGTGGTGTGTGAATTTTATCTCATTTTAAATGCTCTCATTCTAGATTAGGATTTTCAGGCTTTACTAGATTTCAACGCAAGGAAACAGAAAAGGTATACTTTATTGGTATTTAGGCTTAGCACATTTCAATTCAAATAAAATAAAATGGCTATTTATTTAATCTAATTGAATATAACATATAAACAATTTTAAGTATGTTTTACCATCATATGATTGTATTCATGCAAGTATAATTATCAAAACTGTCCTTCTAAGCATATACCATAGCACCTCTTTTATCTGTAGTACTTGATATAAATTTCATTGTCAAATATATCTGGCTTTAGCAATGTAAACATTTGCTACAAGTAAACTTTAAAAGGTAAAAGTGAATGATACTAATGAATAAGTCAAAAAGGAACTGAGCATTACAACATGATATAATTCAACAAAATATTATAATACTGCTTCAGTTAGAACCACAAATTAATAAATTTCACAAACTAGAAGCAGAAACAAAATGTGTAAAATCCTAAAATAGAGTAAAAATACTGAAGTATATAATGTAAAATTTACCTCAAAAAAAAAAAGTGGGAAATAACAAAATCATGCAATGAAAACCAAATTTGGTTTAATAGTTACAACAGTCACTTTACTGCAAGGTATTCTAAAATGCACCCTGACAAAATGGTTTATTTTCTATCTCTCCATTTAAAAAAAAAAAATTTATCCAAATGACCAACATTAACTTATCTTCATGAAAATTACCTTTTAGAATGTCAAATAATTCCTAGACAAATCATCACAAAAATAAAACTCGCATTAACAGAGTAAGTACAGAAAATGTGCATACATAAGTGCTGAAGATCACAGGAAAATATTCAGTGAATAGGCAAAAATGTTCACATTTATCACTATTTTTGATGTTTTGTACTTTCTGGCTAAAGTTACAAGTTTTCAAAAAGTCAGCAAGGACATTCAGTGCCACTTTGGATTTGTCTGCACTATATAAATAACTGTAGTGCATGGCAGACTATTTTCATTATTTATATAATAAAGTTATAAAGACCTCAAATTTCTAAAACCAGTTATAATACTGTGGCAAGCAAAACAAATTTGTTCTTATTGCTCTTATATTCCAGCTTAATCTACAAAGGTGAACATTTTTCCATGTCTCAAACCATACTAACTGAGTCTCTAGAAAGTTGGTTGTTTCCACAGATGAACTGAAAAAGAAAAAATGAAACTGAAGTATTATTTCATCTCTTAAGTGTCCTTAATATGCTAGTAATTCAAGCAGCACTTGACACAGCAAGTTTCTTCAAGTGATCCATAAACACTTGCAAACTGACATCATCTGTGAGAATAGGTGCTCCAGACTCCTAGAGAAAAAGAAAGATACCTTAAAATATTTAAGCAATGTACAAGTTAATGTTTAAAATAGACAAATTATTTTAAGTAGAATAATGCCTATGATCCTGTTGTATTTTAGATTTTCAAACTGGTCTTTGTCCCTGGCTACTAGAGGGAGGCGATGTATCTGTAGGATTCTCCACCAGTAATGTCTTTGGTGTTTATGACCCTGCCTCTCCTCAACTCCCGCCACATGTGAATTTATGCTGAGATGAAACTGGGGACCTATCATCAAAAAGATCAACCATATGATTAGATGGGTGGGGCTTTAAGCCAGCCTGCAAGCTGGCTTCATTCAATCACAGCATATTGATTTTATCAAAAGTTCCCCACTCTCACACATCCCCTAACCCTACAAAACTCTATAGATACTAAAGCTCAATGGAGCTTCCTATTTGACAAATACATCAGCGGGGCTGGGAGGGTAATACATCCTGACTTCAATGGGAAAGGACACATAAGTTGTCTATCTGGGGACCTTGAATTATCTCTCCATTAGTTGTTTCTAACTTTTTTCTACAATGAAACTGAGTTCTGTAAGCTGTTCTAGCAAATTATGGAACACACACACACAAACACACGATATTCTAACTAGCTGATGAACGGTGTGGGTAGTCAGACTTGTAGACAATGTTTAACTTGTGAGCACTGCACTAACTCCAAGGGTCAGCATCAGCTTTGCACTGCAGTTTATCAATGGCCGTTAGAAGAGCTTCACATTCAACTTAATTTTTAAAGTGATAAAAGTATCAATTGCTAAGGAATAAATCTGCCTACATGGGATTATTGTTGTCTATTAACTAAAGTAAAATTCCAATTATAAATATTTTAATAAAAATGGAAATTGGAAGGAAGCAAATTTATAGTAGTTTTTAGTAAACTATGCTTATAAGTTTTCAAGTCATTTTCATCAATGTCTGTGAGTTTTAAGTAATTAACAAGAGTCAGGAAAAAATGCTAACTCCTATTTTAAATAAAAACTGTTGACAGAATGCGCTTGATAATAATGAAATTTCAAAATTTCATTATCACAAGAAACAGTTTTTCAACAAGATCTTGTATCTGAATTTTTAAATTTTCACCTGATAATTTCAACCTCTAATTTAACAGTAAATATATAAAGTCTAAGATATGGAAATAAAGCAATTTTCAGAGGGGATCAGTAATTAAGAGGCACATGTCAGATGAGAATTTATAATAGATCCTGTGGTTTTGGCCCAGCACAGCTACAGACATCATGTCTCCTGAAATTTTAAACAAAACCAATCTTACTATGTGTTCTCATAAGTTAATATGTGAGAACCTGAAAAACCTGATTACAAAAGGAGGTAAGAGTACTGGGGTAAGGGTTGGAAGTCAGAGTACTCTGTGCTGGCTCTGCCATTACTGTCTGTGTGAGTGAAGAAATCACTTAACCTCTGTCTTAGTCTCCTCATCTATAACAACAGGTCACTAACAGGATCTATTTCACAAGGTTGTTATAATGGTTATAATTTGTGTATAACAAATAGAACAGTAACTGAACCATGTGGTAGGTAGACAACAAGTTTGGCTATTATTTTTACCTCTTCTGAAAAGTTTATTATTTTAAAACACTGATACACTTTTTCTTATTCTCATTCATACTTAATGCAGAAAAGCAAAGGTATCAAAATAGAAGCAGAGAAGCCAAGGGACAACCTAATAACTTGGTAGCTCCTGCTTTTTTCCTTATGTAACTATATTTGATTTTTTTTTTTTCATTTTATACATTTTCTACTTTGGTCCACCCAGTCCCATATCTATCACCTACCCAAGAAAAAAATATATTATGAATTTTCAAATTTACTTACTGCAGAGAATTTATTTAAAATTATAAATACTAATGCTTAATTCAGTCTTATCAAATACTTGCCCCTGGTTGATCTGAATGTTTCAAATACGCTTTTTCTTTTTAAAATATATCTAAAGGCTCTCCCTGGTGGCGCAGCAGGTTAAAGCACAGCACTAAGAAGCTTAAGCCACTTCGGCATGAGTTCGATTGCTGCCTGCCCCGGAGGAGATCCACATGGCGAGGCAGACCTCTCCTGACCCGCCCGCTGCTCCCCTCGGCAGTGTGTTTTGTCAATCTGCCTGTTCTGCTCCCCTCTCTGTCTCTGGTGAATCCTCTCACCCTCTGCATCACTGCCCTGTACCCCAGTTCTATATGCATAAATAAATAAATCTTTAAAAATAATAATAAAATAAAATAAAATATATATCTAGATTAGGCAGAAAGATCCAAGCTTTATATCCGTTAGTGCATGAAGCAGCCTGTCACAGAAGCAGTGTCGCAGTGGTGCCCTCTTCAGGCCACCCATGGATGGGAATACTTTCTGACAAAAAAAAACCTAAGCTATTAGATTCCATAACTTTTAGTAAATATTTGGCTACCAAATTAACTCCCTAAATTGCAATAATAAATTGACACTAGACGATTAAACATTCATATTCTACAGTGAGACAAGCATACACGGTGATCACTTTAAATATCACTCTCCTGCAACCAACTTTCACACCCTTGCCCTGATCACCAAATATGAATTTCCAGTATCTCCCCCAAATGGCAAATTACATAATATTTCAAACTCACTGTGTCTAACACCAAACATCTCCATGCTTCCATTTACTAATGCATGTTTCCCCTGTGACCCAAGCTCAAAGCCCCATATTACTTATTCTCCCTCAACTACCTGTTTTTAAAAAATGTAAATCTACAGAAAACTTGAGAGAAAATTATAATGAATACCAATATGCCTTATACTCAAAATCAATTACACCTTGCAACATTTGCTTTATTTTGTAGGCATTTTTCTTTTTTCTTTCGCTAAATCATTTCTGCAAGTTGAAGGTATCAACTTCCCCCAAATATTTTAATATATCACCTAAGATCAAGAACAATTCATATAACCATACCATGATTATCACACTTCAAGACATTTAATAATAGTGTACTCTTATCTGACATGCAACTCATGTTCATATTTTACAAATCATTCAAATTATATTCTTCATAGCTGTGCTCGTCCTCTAATCTAAGATCCAATCAGAACTCAGAATTTGTATATAGTTGTATTGCTCCAGAAAAACTTATTTTCCTGAAACAGCTAATATATCTCACTGAACATACTTTTAAAGTATCTCCCAAATCTATTCTCTGTCATCATCATTCACACTTGGATTACTTCAATTAATTCAACCTATTAACTGCTCCCAACTAGTTTTAATTTTAATTGTATTATCTAAGAATCAAATTTGTCCCCTGTACAAAAACCTTCAGTGATATTCTCTTAGCAAATAAAGAAACAATTTTTCAGTTCTCAGTCTGGCACTCATGATCCTCTACAGTTTAAGTTCTACTACTGATCCCGACATGTACATCCTTAGCCTATACAATTTCCTTCCCTCATGCATTTCTACTCGTAGGAATAACAGCCATTCAAAAAGTAAGTGTTCTTACCCTGCATTATTTTTCTTATCACACACCCTCTCATGTTGCCACTGTGATTTCATTCCTTCCTCCTTTTTAATCTTTCTAAAAGCATATATCCCATCTGCCTTGTGTTTTCATTACTTAGGTATGTATCTCAACTGTCACACTAGATTAAAACTCTTAAAAAGGGAGATTGTTGTGTACCCTAAAGTACCAATACAGAGTCCTGCATACTGGTCACCTGTTAAATGTTATACCAAAAGCCAGAAATCTACTAAATTAAAATATACTGAAAATTACTTCAGGCCTTAAAGCCTCTTATATTCAAATATCCCTGATCTCTTCCAGCTTATTGTGACTTTTTGTGGACCATGGCCTACAATTAAGCTTAAATCAGCATTTCATTAATACCAACATCTGATATTATACATGTTACTTCTTTCTGTCTCACCTGGAATATGGTCACTGCTTTATTTTCTAAGGTTCCACCAAATAATAATAATATTTTCTACTTTATTTTTCCATTTATTTCCCAACAGAAATTATTATCAAATACATTTAAAAAGCAACCCTCACTAAAATAACAAATTATAAATACACAATAAAAGCATTTCCAAGATCTGCTATTTATACTTACCTGTCCCCAGGCATACATATTGTTATGAGTCTGTGAAGGGTTGACTTTTGAAAGCAGGAAACGTGCCTTAAAAATAAAGAAAAAATCTTATCCATCAAAAAATTGAATCAATACAGGCTGAACAAATACATTATGCCATGCCATCTAAAATCAATTTTAGTTAATATGCTTTGATTTTTTTAAATGAACTATAATTTGAAATATGTATACCATTAAATGGTAAAAATAATAAGCCCCTCTTCACTCCAAATCATACATTCATAACAATGTCCACATTGTTGAGCCAAACAATCAATTGTTGAGCCAAAACTCAGAATGTAAAGATTATGCCACAGTTATAACAAAGGTTAGTGTGAAATTTACCAAACACTTAGTCTGAAATATCAACAGAGCTTCAAATTCCCCCAAAATTATAAAAATGAAAACTATATATTCTTTTACTTTAAACATGATTCTCAAACTTTTTAAACTACTCTACATAAGACAACTTACCTGTCTATCCACTATAATTTATCATCATAAAAATAACCAGCATAAAAGAGAACAACACTAAACACAACAAAAAACAAAAGAGAAAGCCAATCACATTATTATTTCATACTGGAAGAATACAGTTAGGTCATATCTTTCAAAATTTATTTCCATACAAACCCATTTTCTACTCTGTAAGCAAGCAATTTAACATAACACCACTGGTTCTAGAGTCAAAATTTCTGGATTCAAAACATCTCTGCTGGCACATGGATTGAAGTCACAGCACTATCAGGCTATCACTACACACTGCTGCATGAGTTTGATCCCCAGCCAGGGAGCTAATACTCATAGCACAACAGGCCTTGCCTGTCTCATCTGTTATTCCCCCCTCAGCAGTGTAGAGGGGAGTAGATCTGCCTGCTCTGCTTTCCACTGTCTCTGGTGAATCCTCTCACCCCCGCACCTCTAGCCTACACCCCAGTTCTTGTATGCATAATAAGTAAGTCTTAAAAAAAAGAAATCTGGGCCCTCTCTGGTGGCACAGCGGGTTAAAGCACAGCACTGAGAAGCTAAAGCCACTTTAGCATGAGTTTGATCCCTGCCTGGGAGGTAACCCACATGACACGGCAGACCCCTCCTGTCCACTGTTCTCCTCAGCATTGTACTTCACCGATCAGCCTGTTCTGCTCCCCACTCTGTCTCTGGTGAAGCCTCTCACCACCCCTGCACCTCTGTCCTGTATCCCAGTTCTGTATGCATAAATGAATCTTTTAAAAGAAATCTGGATTCAAATCCTACCTCTTCTATTTACTGTTTCCCTGACCACAAGGAATTTTTAACTATGAAACATAGATAACAAAGAAACTACTAGCATGTCAAATGAGGTAACGTATGTAAAAGTCCTATATCAGCTTTGCAAATTCTCAATATATGATAGCTCCTATTATAATACAGTAAAAAAAAAAAACCCTAGTAAGAATTGCTACCATTTCTGAATAATAGTTACTGTTAATATTTTATATTAATATGCAAGAAACTAGATACATCACTAAACAAAGCATGGTCCTTACCTTTAAGGAGCAAGTAAAACAAACTTAGTCTATAATTAATTGATTAAAATTCTTAAGAAGAAGTAAAAGGGAGAAGTTAAAAATGTTTTAAGAATATATGGTAAGGGGCTCTCCCTGGTGGCTCAACAGGTAAAAGCATCACATTATGAAGCTCTCAGAAGCCACTGCAGCATGAGTTCAATCACCTGCTAGGGAGGTGACCCACATGGCGTGGCAGACCTCTCCTGACATGCCCACTGCTCCCCTCAGCAGTGTACTTTGTCGATCTTGACTGTTCTGCTCCCTACTTTGGTGAATCTTCTCACCCAACTCTCCTCTGGCTTGTTCCCTAGTTCTGTATGCATAAATAAGTAAATCTTTTTTAAAAAAAGAATATGTGGTAAGCAGTCCTAGGGTAAACTTCTAAAAGGCTCAAAAATGCCATGTGTATATATAGATATATCTTATTTAATCTTTGTAATTCTAAAACTCACAATGTCTTTTATATTACAATACTTTCCTACTACCTCACTTTCTAGAAAATATTAATTACAGAATAAGAAAAATAGAAAACTCATCAGAAGCTCATATCCACAATGTTATCTGTAAGTGCTTTACACTACTTTATTCCTATCTGTTCAGATCTTCTTGATCAACTGAAGTTGGCATACCACCACCACCCCTCCTCGCTCTATGCTATTAAAGTGGGCTGCAGGTAGAGGATGGCAGAAACTGTCCACTTTAGTCAAGTAATTAATAATCTTACTACTCTGCTAAGGCAAAAAGCAAGAATATCTTCCCTTGGATACCTTCTCCTGCCCGTCTCTCCTCTTTCATTTGCCAAGTAAAATCTATCAAGTTGAAGTCAAAAGTAGGAACAACTCAGAAAATTTAGGAACAAACAATACCTGGCTGCCTCCGTGTTCAGTGTCAATATATCTTGGCATGGGAAACCTGGAGTGAAGAATCTCCTGCGCGTCATCCACTGGGGCTTGCAGAAGGTGGCGAAAATTTTCATACTCTGGCATGTCTTGGTATCCAGACTTGCGCCACTGTGCTATGGTCTGATTTTAAAACAATTAAAGGAGCTATTACTTTTAATTCCTTGCCTATACAAAAATTTAAGAGTATTTTAAAAAGTATTAATCTTCAGAAAGAAAAATTATACAATATTATTGCATTTATCACAATTTTCTTAAGTTTAGTAATTTCAGTATTCTTAAGCAAATAGAAGCAAAAATAGGATATTTTTATAGACTAAGACATAATTAAGTTAAACTTTAAATCACTATGCTTACTAATTTTTCTTAGCTAAAAGTTAGCTAAGTATATGATAAATGAGTAACAAATGTGCTACAAGAAGTTCTGCAGACTTCAAATTTAAAAATTACTATGATGATGTCTTTACCAGTGAAGTTATACCTAGTAAGTAGTATCAACATGGAAACTTTAATAAGAATAGCAATGACAGGGAAGGGATGGAAACAGGAGAGGGAAGAGCACAAGGCACTATGAGGATGGTGCTGGGTGAATTGGTAGTGGGAATTTTATGGGGATTACACCTGAGAAGAGAAGCATACATTGCATAGAAAAGGAATAATGATATAAAATATACGTAATAAAGAAGTTATGTAAAATGAAAATAGAATAGCAATGATATTATAAAGTAGAGCTCTTGAAATTACTTTGAGAAAAATGACTCCAAAAGCAGAAATCATCCAAACAGTCAACATGTACATTGTATCAATTTACTTACTTGTATTTAACAGAGGAATAGTTATCTGCATTTCTGATTTCTCCTTAAAGCATCATAGCCAAGCTAGCCATAAATCTTTTAAAAGTCCTGGGTAATATTACTTAAAAGGAGTTTTGGTGGCAATGCCTTTGCTATAACAATGCAATATGAATCACTTACAACTAAAACAGTGGAGGGAAAATTTGCTGACGTTACCAAAAACTAGCCTATGTACTTTAACGTAGGTTGTGAAAAAACAATCTTTGTATCTTTCAAAGCATTTTTTTTTTAATACAGAGGAAGCACTTTCATACTGGCTGAATGAATATATAATGAACAGAATACCGCTAAAAGCCTGAATTAAAGCATAACAGTTACACAAATATTCTCTTTTCAATTATTTACCATTCTAATTCAGTGAAGTTAAATGACTTTTAATTCACTTATGCTTTAAATGAGCTTTCAAGATCATGTAGCTTTTTAAAATGCTTTAAATACTGCCTATGGAGGGCTTCCCTAGTGGCTCAGGGGTTAAGTCTCAGAACAGTTACCAAGAGGGTCCACCATAACTGCTTGAGATCGATCGCCCCCACTGAGCTAACCCACATGGTGCAGCAGACCTCTCCCGTCTTGCCCATTGTTCCCCACTCTGTTTCTGGAGAATTATCTCACTGCAACCTCCATACCTCTGGCCTGTACCCCAGTTCTATGCAAAAGGAGTAAATACATTTTTGATAAATTAATTAATGCTTCATGTGGAATACTTTGCAAATGATTACATGAAATAGTGTAAAGGAAAGATTACCCACTGACAAAGACTGACTTATGCCCTCTTAATGTCTATGGTAAACCCTAAAGTGTAAGCTGTCTACATATATATCAGAGCTTTTCTATTCAGAACACTAAGCTTTGTGTAAAATTAATTTTTTCATTAATGGTAAACAAAGGGACAGATAACCACAGGTGAGTAAATTTCAAGTCTAAAAGCTGTAGTAAGGAGAATCACATTTTATTCATATGTTAAAAATAGAAATAAAAGCTTATCATAGAGAAAACAGAAGCCATACATCAAAAGGGGAAATTTTCCATGAATTAAAAGAATTCACTGCATCTACATGCATAGCTTTAAACACTATGGAATCTTACCTCTCCATGATAAATCAAAATCTGGAAAAATGTGTCCATGAGAAGTATCCGATCTGCAAGAATGCTGCTGCTATCAAGAAGAACTGGCTAATGTGAAAAAGAAAGTAAAAAAAGAGAAAGAAGGAAAAATAAATTACTTAAAGATACAAAATAGATCTGTCGTCTAGCACATTTTTAAATTTTATACCTCTCCTGTTTCGCCTACTGCTCCCCTCAGCAGTGTATTTCAGTAGATCTGCCTGGTCTCCCCATTCTATCTCTGGTGCAACCTCTCACTCCCTGCAATTCTGGCCTATATCCCTACTCTTGTTTGCATAAAGAAACAAAAATTAAAAATGTTTAAAGGGGAGAGGTTTGAACTAGTGATACAAATTTGGGTATCACACATGGGGATTTGACTGCATCACCTGGAGAGATGGAAGATAAAGAAGAGGCCAGAGATTGAGCCCTGAAACATGCCAACATTTAGGTATCTGAAAAGGAGAAACCAACAAAAGGAGACTGAGAAGAAGGCAGTGAGCAGGAGAAAAGTTGGCTGATATTGTAGATGTCAGAGATGCCTAAAACAAAAAAAATTTAAGGAGCGTCCATAATAGTATATACCGCTGAGAATTCAGGCAAGATGTAGACCATTATTGGTGCTGAGTAGTGTGCTTTCTGTATGTTAGGGACAAGTCTGACTAAAAGAGGTTGAGAAGAAAATGTTACTTACTGTCCAGACAGTAAGTAACTTCTCTGAATTTAGCTGTGACTAAGGACAGATAAGTGGAATGGCAGGTATAGGTAATATGAAGCCAAGGGGAACATTTTTACCTTTTTTAAAATAAATGCTGGTAAGGTTTCTATGTTAATGAAAATGACCAGCTAGAGAGAGAGTGATGATTCAGGGAAAAAGAGGCTAACTCTACAAGGAAATTTTTAAGACAATGAAACTAGAGAGTTCATGGAGTAAGTGGGAAGGCTGAAATCTGACAGAAATAGGCATGCCTACTAGGGATGGCAGGAATCCAATTTTCTTCTAAACATTATTCTACATCTTCGCGAGGTCTACAATTTGCATGTATTATTCTGAAGCATGGAAAAGACAATTCTAAAACTTTAATTCAAAGAACTACGTAAGGCCAAATATGTTTAAAAAAAACTTTCCCAGAGAAATACACACATAAGCAGAATCTTAAACACACACACACACACACACATAGAAAAATGGGTAAGACTTGCAATTACCAGAGGTAAAGGGTGGGAGACATAAAAAAGGAATGTAGTCCATAAGTACAAACTTCCAGTTATAAGATAAATAAGTACTAGGGATACAATGTACAACATGATCATTATAGCCAACACTGCTGTATGATGTATGGAGATGTTCTTAGACAGTAATCCTAAGAATTCTCATTGCAGGAGAAATACTTTTTTTTAATCTGTTCTATTTTTTTTTATCTCCATGGGAAAATGGATGTTAGTAGTTAAACTTATTTTGGTAATTATTTCACAACATATGTAAATCAAACAATGCTGTATGCCTTAAACTGACAGAAAAATGCACGTCAATTATTACTCAATAAAATTGAAAAACATAAATACATATACATTTCAAGCAATCCATATTTTTCCCTGGAGAAATACAGTAAGAAAATTATTTAAACCTATTACAAAATAAAAACATTTTACCCACTTTTTTCCCCAAAACAATGAACATATAGATCATAAAAGATCATTATTGGGCCCTCCCTAGTGGCACAAGGGGTAAGGACGCAGCACTGCAAGCTGGCCACAGCCACTTCAGTGCAAGTTCGATCCTTGGCCCTGAAGGTGACCCACATGTTGTGACAGACCTCTCCTGACCCACCCGCTGCTCCCCTCAGCAGTATACTTGGTCAATCTGCCTGTTCTGCTCCCCACTCTATCTCTGGTAAAGCCTCTCACCACCCCTGCACCTCTGGTTTGTACCCCATTTTCTGTATGCATAAATAAATTTTTAAAAAAGATCATTATCAACTGATAACATATTCCATTTTCAAATATAGTCACTACATACTCTCAAGTGGTAAAACCAAATAAACAATTTTAACTACAAAATGGGTAAATTGTTTATCTGATAACAGGTTAAAATAAGAGGAATAAAGTTTGCTAAGAAGGGTAAATGGATGACTTTTTTATAAATATGTGATCAACTGTATCTTATATTCAAAAAAGATATAGGAAAATGAGATATATTAAAGCAAGACAGAATGTCCTGTTAGACACCAAAATCTGGAGTAAGCTATAGATTGTAAAATCATTATCACGTCTAATTACTGGTAAAGACATAAGAATGATCTATAAGCCCTACATGATTTGATGAACCAAATGACCGAACAAATGATTTTAAAAGTGTCTCCAAACACAGCAGTTCTGCATGTGACTATGCAGGTGTCTCTCTTTTCCTAGTAAACCTGCCCTTTTAAACTAGAAAAAAAAGTGTCTTCCCAAGTCATTGTGTGTTTTTTAAATAGTTCCTAATACAGCCCAGAATGGGCTTAATAATTTTAAAGTGACTATATGAATGACTGAAGGTAACTATTCCTGAACTAAATCTTATGTTTAATAATTCTGTTTCAAAGAAAATTTAAGCTATCTTTACTACTTTAATGGTATACATCACAGTTACAAAACCAGTCTACTTTCTTTTCCCCACCTCTCTTACCTCTGGTGGCCCACTGAAAGAATATGCATACAGAATAGGCTGAATCATGATCAGAGACTGGGTCAGATCTTGACGCATAAAATGGTGTCGATAATAAGAACTCTCATCTGGACTATTGTTAAACACTTGCAAGAAAGGAGATCTTCTTAAATGAAACATAAACTGCAAGATAAAACATGTTAACTTTTACTGACTTTAATATTGTAACAGGAGTTTACTCATACAAAAGCATTTGTTTACACTATTAATGCAACAGTACAAGTTATAAGAATATTCTAAATTTGTATGCCTCAGGAAAAAAAAACTGTCATAATTGTCAGTTACTTAAAATATATAGTTAACAGCAATTTTAAAATTAAAGTAGTTATACTCGGAAGAAAAACAACAATAGGAACAAAATAAAGCCGTGTTCAGGTCTGCGTTATTCAGAGGCTGATGCCAGGTGGTGCACTATCAACATTCCTTGCTTTTATGCCTCATCTCTCTGGACACATCTCTGTGATTATTTATTTCTACTCACTATCCCCACCAAAAGACTCTAAAGAGAACATAAAAATAGATTAGCAGAGTTTCTGCTTTTTGTATGAATCCCACTGGTTTAGAAAAAGGACTCATACACAAGGTTTCTTAATATGTAAAATTTTCCAATCCCTAAGAAACATTCTTTAGACTGTTTCATTATTTCTTTCTCCCTGCACTTATCCCCCATCATCTCCCTTCCACCCACTCCGCACATGAAGGGGATCAAAAGGGAAAAGAGTTAGGCTTGAATAAAGGACAGCTACCCTTTTGAGACAAAGGGTCTTTGACACAATCAAATAAGCTCCTAAGTACCCCAATGTCTCTTTCGGTTACATCACTCATCTCTCAACTTCCACAGCCATTGGGTCTCAAGTGCCTACATGCTGCTCCCACATGGACTCACTATGCATTTCTCTGCCAACACATACCATCAATTCTCTCATCCCTTACCACCATGGACATGTAATTAGCAAATTGGGGGATAAATATTTCAGAAAAGCAGACCTCCCTTGAATGTAGCCTGTGTCACCTTTGAGAGATTATCAGGCTTTAAAAAAACAAAGGGAGATAGTTTCTGAAAGAAAAAAAAGTATTTCTGGGGCTTCTACCCCTTGTTTCCAGGAAAGGGGGGAAGATGGGCTGCCCAGATATCTCAGAGAGCCTTAGAACAGGGAGAAAAAAGAAAGTGTGGAGAATTTTTAGACAGATATTTAGATTAATGTCCTCAATACCTTTACTATTAGTTTATGCCATAAACATTAAGGCCTGGAAATTCCCAAAACAAAAAGAGTTTTGCCTCCCTTAACACAAGTAGCTTTGCCTCTTCCTAGGTATCCAAAATCTTCAATCAGAGGTTTAGGGAAGTCTCCCTTTATAGACATTAAGTTTCTAGGTTACAGGTTACTAAAGAATTCTCAAAAAATATAGAGAAGCTCTGAAATGTAAGTTGAAACTTTAAACAAAGTTTTTGTGAAAAAAATTGAATTTCCAGATCTTGCTATTATCACCAGACTGAGCTAAAATGCTACCTCTATAAAGATGTATCAAGCTATCCATTTAGAAACATTAAAGTTTTTCTTTATACCGTGTATATTTCTCATAGGATCTCTCATTTCTAGTCTTCAGACTAAAAGTTATATAGTCCCTTGCACACAGTTCTGAGTTGAATAAACATTATGTCTATTATTCATTATGTAAATCACCTAGCTTTTAAAAATAGCTACCAAAAGAACAGATAAAGGGGTAGATTTCACTGCCCATTGTAAAAGGTTCTGTGGAACAAATCATATTAGCTTCTTTTCTTTTTATCTGGTATGTCCCAATAAAACTGTTCTCAAGTGAGGATACCATGTTGTAAGACTAGCTGACTGGTAAGGCCCTCTGGTTTCACTATAATTAGATCACTTAGCTGGAAAGCTAATCTGCCTTACATTTAACTCGACTCCACTACAGAGTTCTTATATAAATTTCTATTTGCAACAAAAAAAGGAGATGGCTAATTTGTAAGGCCAACATAAAAGTGCGACATCCTTTTTTTCATCAACTATACATAGCACAATATTAATTTCTTGGTGATTCCAAAACTTAACTAACTAAAAGAATAATCTGTAATAAGTCCTTTAAATGAGAAATAAAAAACAAAAAACAGGAAAGTGAACCCATAGCTATTGTCAATATGAAGAAAAAACATGAACTTTGTATTCACTTACCTGTGGATAAAGGGAGAAAGTTTCTGAAAATCTGAAGGAGCTTGGATCATCTTTGTGGTACTCTCCAAATTTCTGACACTAAATAAAATAAGCATATAAATAGTAATGTACTTCCTGCCATACAGGAGGCAGAGAGTTGATAAAGGACAAAATTAGAATTCTACTTACAGACTTACCAAGAGATTGACAATAACCAAAGATATACATTTGAATTTCAAACACAAATAATACATTGCAGCAGTGCAGTAACACCTCATCTCAAAGGCTGAAATTTTAAACAAAGTGTCCCTGGCAGCAAATAAGAACCTCTTGGGTAATAACAAAAATAACTCAATCTGTACCTACCTGAGATTCTACATAAAAAAGACAAAAGCAAACTGCCAAAAACACACTGTCAAAATGCCACAGTGGCTATAAAAACCATTGGTATAAATCTTGTTACACCAGAGGAAACAACTAGATACCAACATGTAAAATCAGATTTGTTATTTTTTTTAGTTTTGTGGCTCACTTGTATTCCCTCTTTTAATTCCTTGCTTATGGTTTTTCCTCATCTTAGCCCAAATCTTACTGATTTGTTTTTAATGACTTCTACTTTTCCTTACAAGTTAAAAATCTTTCTATATCTAGAGATTAAATAAATATTAACCTACTTTTTGGTAAATATAATTTATACTTAACCAAAGGCAACTATATAAAGTTTGCATATTAGATACATATATAAATTTCTAATCTTTGGGTTACTTCTTTAGAAAAACGTGAACATTTGTCAAATGCTCTAGCATTAATCACCAGTATTATGAGAAATGTCCTTATTTACAACCCAACCAAAACATTAATACAAATGAGAAAAAAGATTGAAGCATAAAGAAGATTTGTCAAAAAGACATTGTTTGATTTAATCATCATAATGTGGTATGGAAAAACCACACCAAAAAAAATTTCTTAAAAGAAAAAACACATACAAGACTTTTCATTAGGAAAAACTTTGAAAAATTTGGTTCCTACGAGGTATTAACCATTTCTCCATTTATGTTGCAATTATTTTAAAACTGAAAATTCAGCTATATGGATACAGAATTTTATACAAAAATTAAGTGACACTGTATTATTTACTAAAATAGTTTCGTAATTACATTTCACTTGTTAACACCTGAAAGTTTCACTTCAATTATACATTATTTTGGTTCTATTAATGAAAAAAAAAACCTATACTTTTATACTTTTTATACTAAAAAGGAGTACTACTATCAGAGATTGTGACTTTTTAAATTTTGTTTTTGATTTTTGCACACCATGATTTCCAAACTATCCTATCCTATCCTACCAGCAATTTCTTTGGAGATTTTTCAGTCCTATGTGGCAGTGTGTAGTATGACATTGTTCCTTTGAAAACTCCATTCTTGTTTTTGTTTTTTTTTTTTAACACAGATAATGGAGACCACTGGTAATGGACTGGTAAAAGCTGTTTTGCCCAAAAAAGTAATGCAGAATTATAATATTGTTCCCCATTCCCTCTCAAATTACCTCCACCAATCTCCTCTTACACAGCTGAATCATGGGTATAGACAAACTATACCAGTATGATAGATATCAGAGTTAAAATTTTCATTATGCCAGATAAGAAAATAAAGCATTAGGGACTCCCTAGTGGTAAAAGGGGTTAAAGCACTGTGCTATGAAGCTATCTGAAGCCACTGTAGCACAAGTTTGCTACCTGGCCAGGTAGATAACCCACATGCACAGACCTCTTCTGTCTCACCCACAACTCCCCTCAACCCACTGCTACCCTCAGCAGTAGATTTCAGCCCATACGCCTGTTCTGTTCGCTATTCTGTCTTTGGTGAATCCTCTTACCGCCGCCCACTCTCCACCTCTGGCCTTGTACCCCAGTTTTTGTATGCATAAATAAATAAATCTAAAGTAAAAAGAAAAGAAGATAAAGCATAAAATATATGTTGACCTTTCCTTAGTGCAGCAGAAAAGTTTTCTTAAAGTGATAGCTTAGCAGAGAATGTTCTTAACAGAGTGTTTTGAGCTGAAGGGTGAATTGAGTAAGTACTTTCAAGGTAATAACAAGGCAGAATTGTTAAGTAAAATAGAGTTTTAAGAACAGAAATTAATTAAGCACTCTAAGTCAAATGTAGTAATGAGCTTTTAACGTGTTAAAAATCCAAGGTCTCATCATCACCAATAAATTTATTAATAAAGATGTTATTAATCCAGATCTAGATAATCAGGACTTATTTATCTTTTCTAAGTTAATATGTATAGCATTTATACACAAATTAATTTCACATAAAAATGTCCACTAAAATATAGAAAACTATAACCCTAAAAATGAAGATTGGCATGAAAACAGTAATTTAGGATTGAATCTGAAATTAATTTGTCAGGCAAGAAAAAGAGAAAGAAAAAGTTTGTCACTTTCATTTTTAAGAAAAACGTTAAATAAAATCTATTATGCATTACCACCCCTTTCTTAGGAACTTGAATAAAACCTCTTCACACAATAATCCAATTACACTATAGGTATTTTCAAAGAGATTACCAGCAACAAATATTTACTACAAAAAGCATTCTGATTTAGAAATCGAGTTCACTTCTTACCAGTCGAATGAGCTGTCTGTCTAGCCATCGGAGCACATCGGGCCCCTCCTCAGTTTCTGCTCTATAAATGGCCAAGCGGGCCATGAGGATGGCAGCCGCCTCCTGATCAAAAGACGCAGCAATGTTCTGTATCTGAGTTTGAGCATCTGCCCAGCTAAAGATAAAAAGCACAGAAATGTTGCTGAATTATATTCACAATATCACAGACAGCGTCATTCAGATTTAAACTTAAAAGATACAAAAATTACCTCAACATTTCAAAATTGCACTATTACCTAGAAGAAAAAGCATTAAAAAAAATACTAATAGCAGTTTCAGTACCATTTATTATTTCTCAGAAAAATATATCCAAACCTAAAAAAATCCTTTGAAATAACTGTAACAGTAGATCTCCAAACACATTATTAAAACATGAAGATTATTACAAGTTTATACCACTGGTATTTATGTGCGTATGCAGATAAATACACAAGGTGCTATGTTAGACTTTAAAAACTTATTTCTTCAATTCAGTAAAAGCAGAAGTAGAAAGCTCAAAAATAAAGGTTTCCTCCCAACCTAATTTTCATTTACAAACCTAGAATATGAATAAACTATCAGAAGCATTTTTCTCATTGGTCTTTAATTCAATCACTAGTTATAGAAATTATATAATTAAAATGACTATGTAGTCTTTTCTATTCCTGTTAATATACTGACTAAAATGAATCAATAGTAAGTAAAAACTGCAGTCTAAGGGACCCCACTTCACATGAAGCAAGTCTTTATAAACTTGAGAAGCGAGACTGCTTTTACAAGACTCAAAGATGGAAGAAGTAATGTCAAAAGAATCCAGACAGTAACATCATCAAAATTCTCCCTTTTTCCTCTACTTTCCATTTTTTTCACTAGACAAATAACTCATAAATATTTTCCAAATGACCAACAACTACAAACTACCAACAACAACTATAACATAGCAAGGCAAAGTAAAGAAAGAAAATGAGGAAAAGAATAAGAACTGATAATTTTCAAAGGTACACTTAATGCACCTTAAACACTTGATGATTATACTAATAGTTTGTTTTTGTTTTTTTTTAATCAGGGGCTATCCCTGGTGGTGCAGGTTGAAGCACTGCATTATGAGGCTATCCCAAGTCACTGCAGCATGAGTTTGATCCCCGGGCAGGGAGCTGACCCACATGGTATGGCAGACCTCTTCTGACCCACCCGCTGTCCCCTCAGCAGTGTACTTTGTCAATCTGCCTGTTCTGTTTCACACTCTATAGCAAAATAAATAAGTAAATAAATACAACTCAATAAAATGAGAGCTACAGATACCATGACTGTCCCTTTCTAGGTCCTGCCTAAATGAGGCAGATTTATACTGATTAACACTTTCCCTACCCAGACAAGGCTAATACAAACAGAAATAAACCAAATGTCTGTCTATTACAAGAATGACCTTATGTATGTAAGAATTCTTTCCTGTATTACTGTGTGTTTTATACATGAAAAATATTTATATCAAGAATAGTACCAAAGTATCTGAGAAATAATTTGTTCTTAACAAATAAGAGGTAAAAAATTAACTTTATATTGTCCTTTCCTCAAAGTTATTTCAAGACCACATGACCAATGCAAGTTTTATTCAAAGAATTTATCAGATAGATCAGAAAAAGAAAAATCACCTATTGTGCTTAATTATTCCTTTTTGGAAACTTAGTATATCAATAAATCTAAGACATGACAAATCTAAGACATGTTACACAAAATACTACCTTAGTATATTAACTGCTAGGAGATTTACCTTTTATGATCTCTACCAGTGCTAATCAAAGTGTGATATGGGAACCCAGCACTTTCTCGTCAGTGCTAAGAACAGAAGCTGAGAACAAATATTTAAAAGCTTTTAAACAATTTAATGAAATAATTTTATGTCTGATGTATCTTAAAAGTAAGGACGTGGATTTTGAATGACATTTTACATTCTATTTTCTAGTAATTCATTTCACTGGATTTAATACAGATAATCTCCAAAGGACTAGGGGAAGAGGAGAAACAATGGACCTTCTACCAGATATAGCTGGAGGAGGAATATAGCACATTACCAGGGCACCCCAGGTGTGTTCAAGTCTTTTGCATGTCACCCTTCCCCCAACAGTATCTAGTCCACTGAGCATATGCTAAATAAAGGTTTGATAAATGAATTGACTTTCAATACTTGAAAAATATATAATAATAAAAAGTAGTTAGGAACTTTATCATTAATTGAAAAGTAATGGTATGTTAGTATACACATGTGCAAATAATGGATATATGTACATTATTACTATAAGATAATGCTTTTTTTATCCTCCTCTCAAGAGAATAAGTTAAATAAATGGATAATTTTGAAAAATAATATTTTAGTATTCTTTTTCATTGCTTTACAGTACCTAACAATGAATAATTTAGCAAATATAAGCTGGGCTATAGAAAGAGAATAATGCCATGGTGAACATACCGGTCAGCATGCCCCTCGGTGGGATAGTGACAACAATCAATCAGTGTTAGTTTTCTAGTCATGAATGTCACAACACCACCCAAAACAGGAACCCAGTTTGGCAGAAATACAACTTACTTCCTAGCGATGGTAGTTACTCTGATGCGTCTCTGCCCACTCGAATGCTGATACTGAGTCACAAACTGAATTGCACCACGCCCTCCTTGGGGAATTGGAGCATTGTGCTGTGTAAAAATAAAAAAATAAAATCTTACCAAAATCTAATATGTCATATAGTCATAGACTACATATCCTATACTAATAAAATTCATGCCAAAAATCACTTCGAAGGGTGCTTTTTCAGGGAAAAAAAAGAGTCATAATTTGTTATGTAAGAGTAAACAGGAGTAAAAAGGAGAGGGGGAAACGATGAAGGACAGAAGAGTTCAGCTGGACATGAAAGACTAAAATGAAAGAAGCATAAAGAAATGAACAGATAAGGAAAAACGTGTAACAACAGTAATTGCATAAGGAAAAATTGAGCTAAGACTTCCTCCTCTATATGTTAGATGAAAGCAGAACTTTTAGGAAGATAATTGCACAATAAACAAATAACCAATGGAAGACTATTACTGAGAAGATACCAATAGTAATATATTAATAATTCTCATTAAGAGTATTAGAAAAACTTTGACAACATTCTTGCTTTGCTTGTTTATGTGGATGATAGGAACTATATTATCTTTTCATAAAATAACCTCTATATTTATTTTAGGAAGGCTAACTATTAATACTTTGTGATTTATTATTATGCCTAGTAACTATGGTTATAAACTCAGTAATTTATATATCATATCATTATTTATTATGATCGCATACTTCTTATAGCAGAAAAAAATCTTTACAAATATTAAAATCTCTTAACTTTCATTCTTTTTCTATGGCTTTTGATTTATTAACTTTTCTTATAGGAAGACATATGTCATTACCTACCCTGTAATTTCTAGGAAGTAGATACCTTAGTATAAAAATAAATAACGAAGTAGATTTAAGATTTTGTTTTTTGCTACAATTTTAGATTTGAGAAAAATGAGAATAAAAGTGAGCTTCCCAAAGTTGGGCATGAACAGGTGCCCCAACATCTCTTTCTATTATAGCTATTTCCTGTCACCAAGGAGGTTAGCCTGGAGAAAGTAACAAGTAAAAAACTCCAAAAAAGAAAAGGAAAAAAAAAAACTCCAAAAGAGTAATAAGCTTTGGGTATTTGATAGTTACTACTTGGAAAAAAGATATGCTATAATCATCACCTAAATTAAGTGATTATTCAAATATATGATTCAATATTCAAATATTAAAAAAACCATACCTGATTAACAACTTCAAAATATATGGCTAAGGTTGTAGTGGGGCTGAGTCCACATATCTTCCATTGGCAAGTGCCGCCTGTTCCTATCTCCTATAAAAATAAAACAGTGTATTTGAAAGCTAGAGAACTCAAGTTATTGTTATGGTAAATATTTTCAAATTCCAATATAAAAAAAATCTATTTTAGGTATCTAACTAATACAATGAAGTCCAAAGTTAAGAATTTATAAGGTGGACCCTCACTGGTGGTGTAAGGCATTCAATCATAGCACTCTGAAACTATTCACACAGCTACTGCAACACAAGTTTGATACACAGCCAGAGAGGTCACGTGACCTACATGGCATGGCAGGCCTCTTCTGTCTCATCCATTTACTAGTGATAGACTAATAGGTATACTAATGGAAGCTGAACTCTACTCTATGGGAAAATTTAACCCATACAATAATTTTTAAAGAAATGCTATCATTTACCAGCCCAGATCTCTGTTGTTAATCTGAGAATTAACTGAATTTTCTTTTTACAATAAAGATGACTTACATTTTCAGACACACAAGGTCCTTTAGAATTAAGAGATACACAAGGTCCAATAGCTCCTGAAATCTTTATTTCCCTTGAGGTCTACAAAATATGAATATAGTACACTTTGGTTTGGTCAAAGATAAACTCAAACATTTAATTATAAATACAAAAGAATAAAGGCAGACATCTTCATATTTAAAACTCAAAAGTTAATGAAAATACACTAAAGTTAAAAATAATAGGAAAAAAAATCAATAGGCAAGCACTTCTAAACTAATAACTCAAATTTCAAACCAAGCCTTGACCTAACTTTAATCCTCTATTTGCAGCAACCCATAGGTAGTCTCCATTTGGAAACTCAACTCTAACTCAAAAATCATACCTACCCAAATCCAGGCATTCTAACCAAAAACTTAAATACCACTTTCTACTTTTCCTCCCGTTGAGTTTGTCATGATAGTTTCTTTTAATCTCTACTAAAACCAAAATTTAAATTACCAATACTTTCTAAAATTTTAGAAAGACCAGTTCAGTTTTCTTCCTTAATTTTCCTGATTAATCCTGAATACCACTGAGAAAAATTAACACACTACTCATTAACCTACACTGACTTTACCTGCCTACACATACAATTCCAAATTAGAATGAAACCATATAATTAAACCAACTTTCCTTACATACCAATAAAAACTATCCATTCACTTGGCAGTTTTCCCAAACATACTATTCTGAGTCTCACTTTTATTCCTCTTCTCAAGCCGGTAATGCATTTTCCTCAACCAATTTAAATGCTGCCATCTTTCAAAAACAAATTGTTACATAAATACATTCATTTTTCTCTATATCTTTAAAGTACTTTTATAAGCTGATTTCATTCTATCATATATATCAATCTTGTCTTTTAATCAAGACTAAGTTTTTTACAAGACTTGTGCCTGAAGTATCCCAATATCTCTCTATATTATCTTAGCTTAATGCTAAACCTATACGAATGATTCAATAAAATAACAAGATTAATAATATTTAATGAAAATTCTAAATCAATGCAACTATGAGTCGATTCTTTAAATTCAAACATGAAATGATAAAATGAAAGAACTGAATAACAACCTATCAACATAAACCATTTACAGATTATCCAAACAGTAAAAAACAAGTTTCTTCTAAGTTAGATACCAATCCTGCAATTAGAAAAACATAGCATTAACAACCCTTCAACAATTGTATGTACTATGCAAGAATTCAACTTAAAAGTTTATTTTATACTAAAGAATTTAGTATAAAATAGCACTAACAATTTGGACACTAAAAAAGATAAAACATACTTAATAAGTCAAACCCTATATAAAGAAAAACTAGTTAAAGGAAATGTTATCTACATAATAGTTTCTTTTTTAGCAATTGTTCAGAAATGCTAAGGTAAAATTTCATTGCACATTAAATGATGGAATTTTTTTTGGCAAACAAAATATGTAACTGTTGTCTCAATATTTAATCACCACTATTTTTGTAGCATATATTGACTAACTAGTGATACTTTAAAATTATCGTCAAGCCTACAAATCAGTCTCTTAAAAGTATACCACACCTGTCAAGTTTCGATTCTTACCTTTATTTCTAATGTACCACCAAAGCCCATTTTAAACTGTCCATGAATATCTTTGGTAAAGACTCTTTGAAAAGTCTGTTTGAATAAGGATGTGTTGAAAGAGTCACCCATCACCATGTATCCTCTGTATGGAAAGAAAACAATCTATGTAATACAAACACTGGTTCTTTGTGTTAAAACCAGAAAAGTAAATTATTTTCCAATACACAGCTATTTTTAAAAACATTTCCGAAGTATTATGTGACCACTAGTTTTTAAAACTCAAAGATAGGGGCTTCCCTGGTGGTACAGGGGTTAAGTCTCAGCACTATGAAGCTATTTGCAGCCATTGCAGCATGAATTTGATCCCCAGCCAGGGATCTAACCCACAGCAAGCAGCAGACCTCTCCAGTCTTGCCCGTTGCTCCCCTCAGCAGTGTATTTCAGTAAATCTGTCAGTACTGCTTCCCACTCTGTCGCTGATGAATCCTTTCACCCACCCTGCACCTCTTGCCTACACCCCATTCCTATATGCATAAATAAAATAAATCTTTTAAAAAAATAAAGCTATGTTTTCAAAAGATTTTAAATTTAGCTTTACTGAAAGGAGTACCAAGACCTATTAACAGTTGTTGCTCTAAAAAAGAAAGCTGTTGCTCTGAAGTGGTAGGATGGTGACTGCTCTTTTCCCTCAACTGTCATTTACTGGTTTACATTTATGAACTACCATTAGTAGCTTATAATGCAAAAATTTTAAGAATTTAAATACATACCCAGTAAGGTTGGGACAACACTTCATCTCCAGAAGACCTGTCTGATCTAATGCACATGCGTAGATATCAATAACATGGCCAGTTGTTGCGGCTCTATTAGCCAGTGCTTCGAAATGCTACAAGAAGATACTTTCAAGTCAAAGAAGTCATATAAATGTACAAACTTAAACACACTATTAATCTTTTCTCCCACTGATAGATCAAAATGATCTAAAACGTACTGAAATGACAATCATTCATGCTATAAATATGAACTTATTCAATGTAACAAAGGCATCTACAAAAAACCATTACTGATAGATATCACACTTAATGGTTAAAGAGAAAATTATTTGTTCTAATTCAATTTTCTATAATGTCTCCTAAAATGATACAATAACTTCTCTAAGTAGGTCACTTTCAGATTCTTTTCAGTCATTGTTTCTAGGCAAATCTCTAAATTAAAGCTAAACTTAAAGGTATATAATTAAGGATAAATACTTAAAAATATTTTTTCTCTTTGTACATAGACAAAGTAGAATAAATAACACCGAACTAGTACTAATCAAATAATAAAAGATTAAATTAACAAGCCTAAAACATCTCTGAAGCTTTAAAAAAAATTCCAAGTTCAAAAGGGAAATCAAGTATCAGAATATAAGTATCCATTAATAGTGACAAAAATTAACTGTCATTAATTAATTGCCTAAAAAAATGTAAAAATGGCAGGGCTCCCTGGTGGCATGCAAGGAATTAAGTCTCAGCACTGTGAAGCTATTGGCCGCCACTGCAGATGAGTTTGAGCCCCAGTCCACAAGGCAGAGCAGACCTCTTCTGTCTCCCCAACTACTCCCTTCAGTAGTGTATTTCAGTCAGTCTGAATGTTCTGCTCCCCACTCTGTCCCTGGTGAATCCTCTCATGCCCTACACCTCTGGCTTGTACCCAAGCTCTTATATGCATGAATAAATAAATCTTTTTTTTTAAATATTAACAATGACAACCAAAGAGAATATGATAAAATAAAGCACAACTAAACTAAAAATGAGGACTCCAGCGAATTAAAAACAACAAAGACATAGTAGGACCAGTCCAAGGGAGTCGAGTCAATTGGTTATCAGTGAAAATGTACCCAAATAAAAATGTAGTCAAACACAGCGAAAACAACTCAAGGAAATTATGGACTGATTAAGCTACGAGTAATACACAAACAAAAACCTGAAGGATAGCCTTTTGGAAATGAAAAGGAGAAAATGCAAGAAACTTTTCCTGATGGGAAAGATATTCTTTAACATGAATATTTGAAAAGGCACAACGGATTTCTTTGAGAAATAATACTTGAGGAGATATCCTTTGTTGCCTACTATTAAGCTTTCAAATGTTTATAGGGAAATTATAACTTAAGGGAGAAAAATCTTTCAGCAATTCTGAACAGTAATTAGAGTATTACATTTCTTTCTTTTTTTTTAAAGATTTATTTTATGTATTTATGTATTTATGCATACAAGAACTGGGTTCCAGTCCAAATGAGCCAGAAGTGAGGGTATTCACCAGAGAAAGAGTGGGGAGCAGAACAGGTGGATCTACTGAAATACACAGCTAAGGGGAGCAGAAGAAGAAACAGGAGAGGTCTACTGGGCCATGTGTGGGTCAGCTCCCTGGCTGGGTACTGAACTTAGGGAGGCACATGAAGTATATATTTCTTAACATAAAATATTTATATTGATCCTCTTTCAACAAATCAATTTTTCTAGTAAAGGGTTAAGGACTTAAAAATCAGTATTACCTTCGTTCCCTTTTTAACGTATTTGGCGTTGTCCTTTTCAATGTCATGCCATGACCGTATAGGTGTCTTCAATTCATCCCCAACCACCATTCCAGGTCCCTGAGTGGCTGGGCCGCCGATGAACATCATGATACGAGCACCCGTGTTAGGAAAAGTACACTGGTGGACAAAAGTAACTTGTCAAATGTGCAAAAAACTTATTGGAAAACATATATCTCTCATCTTGAACTTTGATATAGTTCTTCTAAGAAATAGGAAAGTTACATTTTCCAAGAAGTAAAAGCAAATGCTTACAATTAAATTAAAAACAAGGTGTTTATTTAAATGCCTTTTTGAAAAAATTATATTCTAAACAGTACCCCCCTAAATTTAAAATTATCTATAAACCTAAATCCTTTTAACAAGAATATTCCTCTTACTTTCCTCATCCTAGACTAGGAGGAGTTAAGAAAGGAAGAAAAGGACATATATTTTTTAATTGTTCTGTTATAAATATAAGCATGACTCTACATACTAGTTCAAGCTGATGATTTGAGTCCTGTAATTTACCTCCCCTCTCTCCCAACATGTCAGTGAAATGAGAGAAAGGGAATGATTTTAAAAATGAACATGAAAATAAGTAAGAGTACTATTAGTAGACAATAAATTGTGAGGAATCCAAACAGCAACAGACTGGACTGGTTTTTAAAAATCTCGATTTAAAAAACACATTCCTGATACTTCAGGTAAAGCCATACCTTTTCCCTATGGGGATAACTTAAAAGCTCTAAATGTAAAGTCAAAAGAAAAAAGTAGCAGTCTACCAAAGAAGTACAGTCAACCTCCAGAAATAACAAGAGTTTGTCACCATCTGAGAACTGCTCTCTGAGTAAAGTGTGCAATCTGCTCAGAGATGGGCCTTTGTATGGAGACTGAAGGCTAAAAGATACAGAACACAGCACAGGTTGCAGTGGACATAACATGATAACACTCAAGAGATTCTACAATTAAAATCATTGCAAAAATAAAAATATCTCAATAGATGAGCTAAAATTCAGCATATGTAATGAACATTTAAAAAGTTCAGAAAATCTCCTAGAAATAGGAACAAAGGAAAGTAAGAAAAAAAGGAAAGACATAAAGAAATGTCTAATATTTAATTAATGAATATAGAAAAAAAACATTAATTGAAGAATAACAGGAATCTTTAGAATGAATGGGTGTATCAAGAACAAAACATGGGTTTCCCTGCTGGCGCAAAGGGTTAAAGCACATCACTGTGGAGCTATTCACAGCACTGCAGCAGGGCTGACCCACATGGCACAGCAGACCTTCTCCTGTCCTGCCCACTGCTCCTCTTAGCAATGTAATTCAGTCAATCTGCCTGTTCTATTCCCCACTCTTGTCACTAGTAAGTCCTCTCATTCCCACCCTCCCCCACCATGAAATTTCACAACTCTAAAATTACACAGAACATTCTAAATATGTTCATAGTAGAAATAAGAAGTCTCCTAAAAAGGAATAAAGATATATCAAATTATCATAAATACACTGAATGTTTTAATACACAAAGGAAGGGCTCAAAGATCCTACTGAAGATTATGTTAGGCCCACAATTCTAATAGCCACCCAAAGTGCAAATGAAGTGAGGGCAAAATAGACATGCAAGTGTCAAAATACTTAAAAGAAACAAAAGAACAAACTAAAAACCTAAGGAAAAGAAGGAAATCTAGAAAAAACATAAAAGTATCCTGATTTTGACACATGATTTTCTCCATCAAGCAGCAAAATTACACTCCCTTCTCTGTGTGTACAACCACTGTATTTTGCTCCACAATTAATGTTTATGTAATCTCATTAGAAATGCTTTTATTTGTAATTTTATAGGCAATTACTGAATTGAACAAAAACCAGGAAATATTTTCAAGCTATATTATCACTTCAGGAAATAAAGTAAATAATCTAAACTTTGAGGAAACTTAAAGAATCATATGACTAACAAGTCTGAAAGAGTGTAAGAAAAACTGCCTTTTTTCATTTTTATACATATATATTATGAGATATACTTATTACCTCCCTAACTTTCTCAAATATGTACATGTGTTGTCAAAGCAAGCACGATCTTAACTAGTTAAGCACACAAAAATACTCTTTTAATTCTGGGTATCTGAGGTAATAACAGTCATGTAAAGCCAAAATACCAATGAAGAACAAAAAACAAACGTATACAAAACATATACCTTCATGAAACTAGAACACAAAGAACATGCCAAGTTCAAATTACTTATAAATAACTCTAACTTCCAAGTAAAGTATCTTCCATGAAAACCTTCACATAAAACAAGGATACTATGAAGGAATATACATGGAAAAAAGAAGAGGGAGGCAAACAGTCATGTAGAACAACAGTCATATTCAAGTAAAAGTTTAATGCATACTGAAGAAAGATAAGAATCAAAAGAGTGAAAATAAAGAAATATAAAGGATCAGAGATAAAATAGAAACAAGCATTTTGTGCATAACAGAAATTCTTGGAGGAGATAAAACAATGAAATAATTACAAAAGTAATATGTAAAAGTATAATTCAAAAAAATGTATGGAAATAAAAGACCTGAATATGCATTTAGGAAAGTATCAGGTTTTTCAAGTCTCTAAATGTATGTATATGAAACATCAACATAATATTGAATAAGCATTATGCAAAAAAGGTAAACTCAGAGAACTGCCACCCCTAATCAGTTCCAGTTCTTGATAATCTTTTCAAAAACTGAAACCATTTTTTAGATGCTTTTAAATAAGTTGCTAATTAGTTCTTTCATCCTACTAAATATTGCAAAAGTGTAAAAGCTGACAATTTCATGGGAAGCAAAAAAATTTCAAAGGACATAAAGACTCAGCATCCAACTTAGAGGGTCTCCCACTGATCAAACCTAGGACAGTTTCAGATATTAAGGAAAACTAACCCATATGACATGCTTTTTTAAATGTGTGTGTGTGTGTGTGTGTGTGATATACAAGTAAAAAAGGTACACAGACACAAATATTGAGAGAGACGTATATAAAAGAAAATGTCAGTATCTAAAGAATGTGTGCTACAAAGAAACTCATTGTTTTTGCAGCTTTCCCACAAATACAGAAATTATGTGAAAGTAAATAAATAGATTTACATTTCACTGGTTAATACAGTGATATCCATAGTGATATCAAGAAGTAAAAATTTAATGAAGAATGGGATATTTGCATGGTTTCAAAGATCTTCACAATCGAATATTTATACAAAGGGGGAAAATGAGTAATTTTATAATAAAGATGCCTACTAGACACACCTTATGGAGTGATCCAGAGATTATCGTCAGTAATGAGACAATGAAAATCATGCGTGGGGGAAGGTAAAGTCTTTGTAAATTTGCTGCAACTGAAGTCATTTCATATGCTTAAAAAGAAGCAGTTTTTCTGCTAAACATGGAGCTTCCCTATGACCCAGCAATCCCACTCCTAGGTATCTACCCAAAAGACACAAAAACACTGATTGAAAAAGATA